AGCACTGTTTCTGCTCACTGATATCTCCTTGGTGCCGTGTTCCTGAGGGAGGTTATAAATGAAGCATGCCACATACACATGACACCTGAGTTGTTTTTGTTAGGTACCAAGAGTCAGTTTAAACTTACAGTAAAGCTGTGAACAGTGAATTGTCTGGTCCTGCCCCATTGTCACAGTTGTTACTGTTTGAATCCACTGTGGTAGACACTGTATCAATCCACACCAAGGGAGGCTCTGAAAAATGGTACCAACACAGCCTTTGGCCTCTCATGACATAATTTCCCTGAACCTGTTGATCTGTAAAATGGAGATGAACATACAAGCTTCCCAAGATGGTGAAGAATCACATGAGAGATTCGGAGTCTTTTCCACCCTTTCTCTGCCCTGCTCCGGGAAGTCCAGGCCTTGCTCACCGAGTTGGAACCTGGAGCTGAGCCAAGTGCCTTGCAATGTTATGACCCTAGCAGATGCCACTGCCCTTGGTAGACACTCAACACTCTGTTCTCTGCTGTTGAGTTTTAGGACTCTTTCTTATTAGGAATGAGAATGTGCTAAAAATAAGCTTTCGATTTTGAATCAAATGTCCTAAGGGATGGAAAAGCTAGTGCAGCTAACCAGTGTAAATACACCTCAGATGAGGGTCCAGGGGCGCGAAAACAGTCCTCACTCTATGGCGAATGGGTGATGTTCCCTCCTGAGAAAGTGGTGCCAATGGGCTGTTGCTCTGCTGTAACTACCACCCTCCGGACCTTGATGGACTGTCCCTCCAGTGTCCAGTGAGGACAGGGACATGGCTGGGCTCTGGGGACAGACAGCTGTCAGCAAGGGGGACTGCCTGATGGCCCATATTCGAAGTCAATGTGTCCCTTCACATCCTGGAAGGTATTGAGGGATGAGGTCTGGTAGAAAGACTCCTGGTCTATGACTTTCTTCTGTGTCTCATGTCTCACCAGCCCTGTCTCCTCTGACCTGACACCTGTCCTGGTGTCCTCCACCAGAATGTCCACAGGGAATATCTCTTCTTCTACTGAGGTTGTTCTCTTACCAGTCCCACTGATGTCTCTCTTACTATGCCATCAATGGGGTTCATCCATGCCCCTTCCCCCCTATTTCCCCTCCCCATTCCTTAGTTCCAGCCCCAGTGCTGACAACCTGGTCTAAGGCTGGCTGCACCAACAAACCAACCTCAGGAGCTCCTTGTCACCTGTCCTCTGAAGATAACCATGAACAATACAAGATGCATTCTGCCTGCAAAGAAAACTCTGGGAGAGAAACAGAGTACTCACTGGTGAGGGACCTGGGCCAGGGAAACACATGTCAAATATGTTTATATATTTCATGGTAACATCAACTCCAACCTATTAACTAGTACAAAAACCCCAACCAGCATAGATTAGACATGTTTTTTTTTCCTAGCTCCCCTGCATGTAAGCACTACGTGTATCTGAGATCTAAGGTTGTGTGTCAACCTGACTGGGCCAGGATTCTCAGTGGGTTAGCAGTTAAGATGTAGCAATCCCTCATGATGAGCTCTAATACAATGTAATTACCTCCATGATGAGCTCTGCTAGAAGCAGCCAATCAACTGAAAGCAAGTTTCCTCAGGGGTGTGGTGTGTAGCATCTTTCATTTTACAAAGATAAAAGGAGAGATGTGAACAGAGAAAGAGCAACCAGTTCTGAAGTGTATCCTTTAGCCCTGGGTCCCTGTACTGTGGCGCTCCCAGATCCAGGAGACGGTGGCTGGGCCTCCAGATGCTGAGAGGAGATGACCTTTCTCCAGAGCTGAAGAGAAAGCCTTTCCCTAGAGGCAACACTCTAGCCTCCTAAACTGGGACAGAATAAACTGGCTTGCTAAAGCTGATCTACTGGTGGCATTTCTGTTCTAGCAGCACTAGATCACTGTGACAGTATATGTAAACCCTCCTCACTGCAACTGTGTGTTGTGAGGTGTCACCTTATCTGGGTGACACCTGACACTTCGCTGTCAGGAGAATCTGTGTTGTTATCTGCATGTCCCCTGTATACCTAAGTTCTCTAATAAAGACTTGTCCACTCAATGTGGCCTTTACTGCCTTTTCAGCTCACAGTCACTCTGGCCACTGGCCCATTTGGGCATGAAACACTCGCCGTCTTGACTCTCCACCTGGCATCCAGGATGGCCTTGCCCAAACACAGATGTGTCAGCCCTCTCACTGCCTTCATAGCATGCTCTTCCATGCCTACCAGGGGGTCACTGTAAGGCCTTTACTGGTGTGGCGCTCTGGTCACAATGACCTTGAGGTTGTGCTACCTGCGGCCCCATGGTTCTGCTCATGTTGGTCCTAGGCTTGGAGCCCCTTTCTCATCTCCACGCATGTCCTTGCCACCGACCTAAGCAAACTATCCCGGCACTGTGCTTTAAGATGCCTTCTCTGATGCCTCCAGCTTGAGGTTTGCATCCTCTCTACCAATGCTATGAGCCCAGACAGCTCACGCACCCACCCTCAGCTGTAGCATAGCCTCCAGGGTAGAAGGTAGGTTGCTCACACCAGATGAACCTTCCTCCATTTCTCCACCTCCGTGAGGTGTACAGGTTGTCAATTCTGCAGAGTCTCATCACCTGCAGAATTTGGACCTGTTCCTGCGAACTTCGCCTCATACAACCCTTCACAGTTTAAACGAACTCTAGGAGCCCACGGACAGACCAGCTCAGCATGCGCAGCAGGAAGGCTCTATGTGAGGCCACAGGCAGGGCCAAGGGCACACTCAGTCTCCAAGCCCTGAGTGGTGTTCAGTAGCTGCAGAGTACTAGGGACATCTGTAAGGACAAGGCCACCTACCAGCCCCATGTTGGGCTCCCCAGTTACTGTTGCCTCAGGTTCTGCCATACCTGAAGTCCCCTCCCAGGGGACTCAGGGCCTTCATATTCCTGGTGTCGAGTCTAGGAAGACAGGTATACCTCATGAATCATCAGATTACAGATAGTCAGAGACACAGATCCAGCAAAGAAAGTCCTGTCCCGTGCCCTCACTTTACAGACTGGGAGACTGAGGCCAATAGGAGGAGAGAGGCGTCCCCTCTGCCTGATGAGAAAGGCTCCTCAGGCATATGAGGGGGCTCTGGAGTGCTGGAGACCCTCCGTATTCTAGGTCATGCTTATACTGAAAACATTCATGTGCTGTAGTGAAAGGTTGACAAAGAAAAAGAAACAAAACACCAAGAGTAGTTATATTGCAGGTAATTTTTCTGTTTTCCCAGAGAGTAAATAAAAATAATATTACTCAAAAAATAAAGACACCTTTATTAAATAAAAATATATAAGTACTAGTTTCTCAACATATCTTCCATTTGTTGTTGTTGTTAAGTGCCACCGAGTTGGTTTCAACTCACAGCAATTCTGTATAGGGTTTTCAAGGGGTAGGTGGTGGGTTTGAACCACTGACCTTGCAGTTAGCAGTTCATTGCTTATCCTACAGTGCCGTACCAGGACACCATCTAGGTCTACACAATTCCAAGTTTCCATCTTTAACCCTTCCCTGGAAAACTGTATACTTTTTGATTTGCATCACACTACAACAACAGTTTTGGCATCCTTGATGCATTCAAATTGTGATCCTTCTCAATGTTCTTTGAGTTTGGGGAATAAAAAGAAGGGTCAAGATCAGGGTTGCAGGGTGGATGGCATAATATTTCCCAATGCAATTCTCACAGGCAGCCCTTGCTACCTGGAATGAATGAGCAGGTACACTGTCGTGATAGAAAAAAAATTCTTTGGTGTAACTTTCCTGGCCTTTTTCTCACCAATGCAGTTTTCAAGTTTCTTAAAACTTCTCCATAGTAAGCCTCTATGATCATCCTGTGTCCTTCGAAAAGATCTATCAAGATTACACCTTCAGAATCAAAAAATTCAAAACAAGCCAGAAGGTATAACCTTCTGAGCTGACCTCTCTGCCTGAATTTCACTGTTTTGATGACCATTTTGGAAGATAACCTAATAAGACTACATGACTGAGAAATCTTTGTCTACAGCTTTCCACTGACCATGAAGACACATTTAAAAAGGGCTTGTTTGGCATAAACCCATGTACACAGTAAATGGCATTAATTGCAATACTTTCTAACTTACCCATATGTACTTATCAGTTAAAATAAGATTTTCTGCAATGAGAACATGCTATTTGTACTAAAAAAAAGTATTCACTTTTAACTTAATGGATGAAAAGAAAACTCACACTTCAAAACACCCATTTGCTGATGAAATTTTCTGTTGAAGAGAACTTTTATATACATGAACAAAACAGAAAGAATACTTATCAAAATTCATGCCCCAGAATTCAAAGGGAACTTAGAAGGGTATTTATTACCTTATTATGTTCAACAAAAAGTAACAAGTGGAAATTAATGCACACGAAGATAAGGCAGTGGTGCTTTCTTCATTGGGTAAGATTCCTCACTTGGTATATTCTTGAGCACAAAAAGAAAATTAGGGGATGAAGGCTTTCTAAATGCTGTACAGTTACAGTGTTTCTCCACTGAGCAAGGTCTCTGAGAAGTCCTTCAGGAAGAGGGACACTGAAGGCTTCCATCATCTTGTACATTCACAGGCTCAACCCACAGGATGCCGCCAGGGACTTGACATTTACATGATGCTTTCCCAGTGTGGCTTCCGGCATGGCTCCTTAGTTAATCAGGGAAGGCTTTTCCATAGAAGGAGTTCTGATAGCACTGTGGGTTAGGTGTTGGGCTGCTAACCACAGGGCTGGCTGTTCAAACCCACTAGTTGCTCCAAAGTAGAAAGATGAGGCTGGCTGCTTTCATAAAGATTTGTCATCTCAGAAACCTTATGGAGGGTTGCTATGAGTCAGAATTAACTGGATGGCCATGGGTCTGATTTGGTTTTTTTCAATATGCATGACTGTCATTGAAAGTAGGAAAGGAGAAAAAAATGCTAACACTCCTTGCAAGATTGCCCTGCCATGTATCATTTTTCCAAAGTTTGAGAAAAAACAAAGGCTGAAGCTACCCAATGTTACTTACATGTATATTGTTTCTCTCCAATATTCCTACTTTAGGTTGCAAAGGATGAAGGACATCTGAAGACATTCCAACATTCCTTATTAATAAAGTCCTCTCTCCACAGTGATACCGTATATGTCTAGTGAGGTGTGAGGAACAAGTAAAGGCTTTCCCACATTCCTTACATTTATAAGGTCTCTCTCCAGTGTGACACCTTATATGTGTAGTGAGGTGTGAGGAACGACTGAAGCCTTTCCCACATTCCTTACATTCATAAGGCCTTTCTCCACTGTGAGCCCTTATATGGGTCGTGAGGGACGATAAACGACTAAAGGCTTTCCCACACTCCTTACATTCATAGGGCCTCTCTCCACTGTGAGCCCTTATGTGTGTCGTGAGGGATGAGAAACTACGAAAGGCTTTCCCACACTCCTTACATTCATAAGGCCTCTCTCCACTATGAGAACTTATATGTCTAGTGAGATATGAGGAATAGCGGAAGGCTTTCCCACATTCCTTACACTCGTAGGGCCTCTCTCCACTGTGCGTTCTTACACGTCTAGTGAGGCGTGAGGGAGGGCTAACTGTTTTTCCACAGTCCTTGCATTCATAAGTCCTCTTTCCACATTGAGTTCTTATATGCTGAGTGAGATGTGAGGAACAACTACAGGGTTTCCCAGAATGATGACATTTACAAAGTTTTGCTCCAGTAAGAGTTCTCACAAAAGGTTTTAGGTAAGAGGGGCAACTGCAGGTCTCTCCACATTCCTCATGCTGATAAAGTTTGTATCCAGTTTGAGATCTCATCTGAGGCATAGATGTATGAACCATGAAGGCTTTTGCACACTCAAGACATTTAAAAGGATTTACTTCAGCAGTTCCTTTGAGCCTAGGATGATCTGCAATCCAGCTGAAAGTTTTTCCACATTGATTACCTTCTTTATTTTCCTTTACTGTATATTCTTTACTTTCATGGAGGTTTTCTACCATAGATTTTCTGTTAAAAACAGGCAACACATTGTTAGAATTAAATTTGATATAATTTCAATGATCATACACGGTAAATGGGTGTTTTTGCAGGGAGGTGTATCATGCTACCTACTCTGAATTATTTCACAGAAGGTGATACTATTACCATCACAGTATTTCTAAATAATAGGGCTTTTTGTGTATCAGTGAAACATGTCTCAAATACTAAATAAATAATTCACACTTGTGAAAATCTACGTTGTGAAATTCTGTAAATTTCACGGCATTTGGAGTTCATGATACACGCACACACAGAAATGCCATGATGTGAATACTCACTCCTGAGGCAGAGCACACTGTTCTACAAGTCACACTAACCTCCCAGAGTTTCCCTGGTGCTGGTGTCCATCTTCCAGGTCAGGAAATCCACAGAGTCCTCCTCTCATGGAGGACCAGCAGTCATTCTTCAGAGAGAGTTGCTGTCTATCATTACCCTGTCGAAAAACTGACCCAGTAATTTTAGTGGAGTTTCACAATATCAAACAAAATAGTGAAGAAATTGTATTTAGAACAAGGGAGATATTTAGAAAGATTCTGTGGCTGATCCAGAACTTTGGCAATAACTGAAAGGGTAAGGAATTAATTAAGGTAGATTCCCATGATAATTAAAAGTGGTGGTGATATTAGTAGGGTGTAAGTTGGTAGGAGAGTATTCCTATGTTCTGTTCGAACAACTGCCTCGTGGTCCATATAAAGATTTCTCATGAGCACAATTAAATGTTCAGGAATACTCATACTTCACAATGTTGTCCATATCTTGTCATGATCCACACAATCGAAAGCCTTTGCATAGTCAATAAAGCACAGGTAAACATCT